TCGAAAGAATGATGAGAAGTGTGAGGAAGCTGCAGAGAAAAGATGGCCGCTTTGTAGGCGCATTGTATTCAATCCTGCATTACTTGCAATCGGGAAAGTAGTAGATGTGAACTATTCCAATTTCTTATTCCTAAGCAGTGTTGCCAGTTGTATTCGAATGTTACAAAAAACTTCATATACAAGTCCTTTTATAAAACATTGCCGAAATGATGGGTAATGTAGGCACCTGCGCCGATGCATATTTTAGGCAGAGGTGATTCAGCTGTTCGCCGCTGGGAAGGGACTGTTATAGCGAACTGAAGAGGGAAGCGAGACGTATTTCTCGCAATAGAACGAGAGTGGTCGAAATACGTGAGTACGAAGAACCTGAAATGCTGGCCGACCGGAAAAAGACCCGAAAACTCTATCAGAGAGTTAAGCGACTTACGCAAGTTTTCAAGACCAGACGCAAAGAACAACCATGGCGAGGTAGAGACAGATATCCAGAACGTACTTAAATTATGGAGCGCAGATTTTTCCACCCTATTCAATTCCAGTAACACAGCAAGTAGTGAAGAAGACGAACCCAAGCCCCAGTCGATGACGATGGAGTCGTTGTCCCACCGCCTAATTATGACGAGGTACGAATAGCAACTACATAGCTGCAAAACAACAAAAACTGCTGGACCTGGCAGCCTGCTAGCCGAGTTATTGAAGTACGGCGGCTAGGAGCTGATAAGGCTCATCCATAAACTTTTATTCGGAATATGGCCAGATGAACGCATACCCGATGACTGGAATTTAAGTGTGCTCTGCCCAATTCACAAGAAAGGCGACCCTGCCATACGCACCAACTAGTACGGATGAGCCTTCTAAGCCAAGGTCTTATCTAGCGTATTGTGTGAAAGGCCGAAGTGCACCCTCAACGAACTGATTGCGCCTTATCAGTGTGGCTTCAGAACTGGCAAGTCCACCATAGGCCAGGTATTCACAATATACTTAATCCTGGAAAACACCCGCGCGAATAGGATCGACATACACCATCTATTTGACGATTTCAAATCCTCTTTCGATAGCACTAAAAGAAGTTGCCTATACGCCGCGATGTCTGAATTCGGTATCCCCGCGAAATTAAAACGGCTACGTCAGAATTGGGAAAGACCTCTCCGAGCCGTTTGTTACCAAACGAGGTTTCAAATAAGGCTACTCCCTTTCGTGTGATTCCTTTAATCTGTTGTTGGAGAAGTTAATAAAAGCCGCAGAACTGAACCGCTCAGGCACAATACTTTACTAGAGCGTACAATTGCTGTCGTATGACGATGATATCGACACCATCGGTAATAAAAACCGCGAACTCTGTTCTGCCTTTTCCAAGTGGGTTAAGGGAGCAAAGCAAATATGTCTGGTGGGAAACGAGGACAAGACTTAGTATCTCCTGTCGTCAGACAAACAGTCAGATTTTGCGGATGATTTACGGGGCTCTACGCATCGACGACGACGGGTACCGCAGACGATGGAATGATGAGCTGTATGAGCTTTACAACGACAGCGGTTCCGCAGGCTTGGCCATGTCATCCAATTGGACAGCTCTGAAAGAATGCAACTCGGTGGTAGCAGAGGAAGAGGAAAGCCTCCTCTGCGTTGGAAAGATCACGTGGAGAAGGACTAGGATTCACTTGGCATTTCCAATTGGCGTCAGTTCGTACAGTAGAGAAACGACTGGCGTTCTTTGTTGAACTCGGCCAAAGTCGCTTAGGCGGTTACAGCGCCAAATAAGAAGAAGTAATTCAAACTAAGGCGAGTCTATTATTTCTGCCGCTGGTATACAAAGCTCGAAGTCGGCGTAAAACTGTTGATCCCTCCCCTGTGAGTGACAACATCAAGGAGTACGCCACAAATCGAAGGAGAAGCACGGCCAAATACCATATGCATAAGCGCCAATCTATTATTATTATTAGTGCACATATTTGCCAGCTGCTGCCAATCGTTAGTATAAATATCTTTAATCATACCCAGATAAGACATACATATGTTTTTTCCATACAATGTATGAATGTAGTAGATCTATTCTTTAACTTTGTAGCAATATAAACATTGGCGAACACTAACTAAACCGTATGCCATCTTATCTCATGCGCTAATTATGCGATAAGCCATTTAAAATCAATTTATGTGATTGCCAATTTTATTACAGCGAAAACATTTAGCAATAATTATATAAAATGTGGGCAGTTTATGGTGGCATGCGTTATTTTGTAGATTTAATAAAAAAGGTATAATTCCTAATATTGTACTGTAGAATCTTGTATCGAAACCAAACAGGTGTTCGGGGCGAACCGAATTTGATGTGATAAGAAAAGTTGTTCCATTTTTACATTATTATAACGATTTTAGGAAATTTTTATGAAGTAGAGCTAGTGGTGCTAATTTTAGCCGCTAATTTTTAATATCAAGATCAATTTTGCTATTTGAAGTGGCTGGCTAAGTACTGAGTGCTCGACCTACCAAGAGGATCAAGGGAACTCGGAAATAAAAATAATCGACAAGGAATAGTTGTAAGTGCCTAATATGTATTAGTTTCATATTTCACTCGTTTGCTGGAAGAAAGTCATAACTCAATACTAAACAGGGTAGAGAGAAATGCTTTAAAAAAGTAAGTAATAACTGAAAAAATATACGTATCGAGCCTTAACGGCCAAAAACGTAAGCGATACTTTTTTCAAAACTTTCTTTTTGATGCAGAAATGCTCCCCGAGTATCTAGATGTATTTTTGCTTAAAGAAAATTTTAAAAGTCGCTTATGTTTTCTTTATCGGTAAGGGTTCGATATGTTGCATGTGACGTCGCTTATCAGGTTCCCGGTATCCATATGAACCCATTGAGCCTATATCAAGGTCAAAAGAAGTTCAAACCCCTTAATTCGAATTATTAATATTTCACATCGGATTTATGGTTTAATATTTAAATCAAGGGGACCTCTGGATATCGTTTCAGGGTCATAAAAAGGTCTAATCCTTGTTTTTGCAAACTAAAGCCAAGCAACTTTTTAAGTTAAGATACCTTCCCTTATGTTACGGACTTTGAAAAAATCATTTACAAAAGTAACATTGCTGTTTGTTTAACATTTTAGTGAGCAATGCAATGCTATAACCACGGTTGCCACTGTTGGTTGTTTCCAACCAAAGTTGGTTGTTTTTCCTAAATTTTTCTAATTTGGTTGTTTGATAGTTTTTCTCTAGTTTGAAATTTTTTTTTTTTAATTAGAAATTAGCGAATTTTTTTCTTTACAAGAAGTATTATTGCATTCTGAATGCCATACACGAATGAATGAATTTTTTAAATTACTATTTTTAATGTAACAAATTTCAATAATTTTTGATTTCTGAAATAGCAGCTACAACTTCTACCAAATGAAAATTAATGTTGTTTTTCCACAAAATTTTCATTAAAAAAAATACTCAGTAAAATTGTTGAATTTTTGTTCTTTTTGTAATAGATAAGTGGATAACAAATTAAGTTGCTTTTTTTCAACATGGCTGCTTTTCCTTCAGATTTTGGTTGTTTATTTTTAAAACGAGTGGCAACCGTGGCTATAACCCCAGCATGCCCAGCGCATGGCTGCTATAAACTATATAAATATAACCGCGCAAGTAATATGCTTTTAGTTAATGTTAAAAGCTTAAGGGCTTTTAAAATCGCTGTTGATTGCCATTAGCAGTTAACATAAAAGCTTCCTATAAAAAAGCTTGCCACTATTTGCTTACAATAGGCTACTAGGCAACTATTAAACTGGTATGACGAATTCAAACCCAACTCTTTATAACGGAAGCTAGGCAACTGTTTAATAACACTCATATAGATTAGACTGCATCACCAAAAAAAAAGTTGCGGTTTTTCCGACGGTATTACAAAATTTATTATACTTGAAGACGTCCACCAAAATATTTCGGAAAAATATTTAGATTTACGTGAGCTGGACCGATTTGAAAACATCTCCAAAAATGGAGTTTTTATATAAAAAAAAATAGTTTCTTAAATAACTTTTTGAAAAAAATCCCCTCAGATGACAAAAAAGATTAAGCTAAAAAAGTCTGCAAAAAAATATTTAAAACCCTTTTCAATGGAATCGTAACGTTTTTTTAACTTTTTTCTTAACCCGATTTACGAAAACTTGAATAACTGGCCCAAAACTAAACCGATTTAGACTTATTGGATATCAGTAGAAAGGTATTTTCCCACTCTTTTCATTTCTGTGTTCAGTTATTCAAGTTTTTCTCATACCAATCTTCGAGAAAAGTTAAAAAGCGGCATCCGTTGAAAATTTGTTTAAATTTTTTTTTTATATGGAAATTTTCTTAGCTTAAACCGTTTTGTCATTTCAGATTTTTTTTATCTATTTTTTTTAATCTTTAAGAAACTATTTTTACTCATAAAAAACTCCATTTTTGGAGGTACTTTCAAATCTGTCCAGCTCACGTAAATCTTAATATTTTGGTGGAAGCCTTAAATTATATTAGATTTTATAATTCCAATGAAAACGCAGTACCAATTTTTTTTGTATGGGGAGTGATGCAGTCTAATATACATATTTGTATATTTTTCTAGTAAATGAATTCAGTCTCCAATAATTGGCATACAAATTACTTTAATCTCGAAGTCAAGTGAAAATTGTTTGAATATTTCTTTTGAAAATTTTACAAACATAAGAAAAAATTTTTATAATATTTTGTAAATGCAGTATCTCCTAGTGAGCTCTTTGAATCACATTTCACAGAGGTTATTTTCAAATTTTCCTCCTTACTACATAGATATGTATATCCCTCGCACATTCTTGGCCTCGTAGGCCATTGTAAGATAGCATTGCACTACACCATCTGCGAATTGAAGCACTTCCTCTTCTTCTTATAAAATCTTGTTTTATTTAAATTAAATTGTACACAGAATTGCTACTTAAATATAAAATTAACACATACAAAAATTACATTACTTAAGTAATTAACATTCGACACAACAACACAGAAACTTAGTATGTATGTAGATACATATCTAGATGAAGGCATTTGCACTAATACAAGCTAACGTGTCGAATAAATTCGACGAAACCAGCGAATGTCTCCTTGCAAATGTGAATGATATCAGAGGTGGCCACTTGGAAGTTCTCACCAGGCAACTCGACCGTGAAGGACATGGGTATACCCAAATTGCCATAAGCATAATCATCCAGACCGCCAGAAGCCTCATAAAGAATGCCAGCTGAAGTGCCGACGCTGTATTGGGTGCCACGATATTTCGCAATTTGATTGGCGGCGCGTTGCGCAACCGAATGTAGCAAGTTGCGCGTGGGAGCGACAACATTTCTGAAAAAGTGTAAGATATTACAAATGAATTTGCAATTAACAAGATTAAATTTGTGTAGCAAGTAATTAAAATGGAGTGCGCTTTCGGTTTTTTTTGTTATTTTTTTTTTGGAGAAAAATTAAAGAGATGGCGCTTTGCTTACTTCGAATAGCCGTAAGGATAGAACAAGAACTTTCCAAATGAATGCACATCCAAACTGAGTTTTATACGATTACGATTGTATTCTAAATAGCGTGCAATAGCAGCTGTTTCGGACTCGGAGGTGGGACCAGTGCCGGAGTAAACCTCGGAACAGAGCTGTGATGTGAAAGAGGAAATATGAGACAATTAGAGTAGTAAAAGAATCAAAGAGATCTGCTTACATTTTGGCTGGCGCCATTATAGTTCCAGTTGTTAGGGAAGTTGCGATTAATGTCTACGCCAGCACACGAGCGACCCGGGTAGCGATGGCGATTCTTGCGCCAAAACCGATCCTAGAAAGAAAGGGAAGCAAATATGAATGTTTATGCTATATAATATCAGAGAAGAAACGAAGACACACATTTAAAAATAAAATGCTACCCTCTATTCCTTTTTCAATTCGAATACAAAAAATTTTATCATATTTGTATCCGATAAATTTATCGATACATTTTTCGCTTCTGTGTTCTTGTTCATTAATGTTAAAATCAGACAGCTATTATGTTATCAAAAAATTTATCGATATGCGATATTATGGATTTATCGATATTCAATATTTTTTAGATTTAACGTTGTCGTATAATTATTGATGTTTATATGAAAGAGAATATCATCAAAATATTTATCGAAATAATTTTTTTTATATTTATCGAATTAGTAAAATTAGAGCTGTTTATTGATATTATTGTTTGAGCATTAATCGGTTATAGAAAAACTATTGATGTTTATGTGATTGATGAAATCTTCATCGATTTAGTTATTTATGTACACAAATTTTTCTCAATATCGTGGTCGGTATGCATTGTTATCGGCGGACGTAGCTCGAAGCTGTTATCCGTTTGTGCTCGATAAATTTATCGATATCTTTTTAGCCTTTATATACTTCATTTTTTAGATGTTATAATCAGAAAATTATTATATAATCCCAAAATTAATCGATACATATAGGATGTGATATAGTTATCGATATTGTTTTTTGTTCATATATCGATTTAATAATATTACAGATATTGAGCATTAATCGGTTTAAAAAAATTGATTTTTATATTTCTCGATATCGTAAGCAGCATACATAGTCATCGGCATACGAACTTCAAAGCCGTCATTCCTTTGTGCTCAATAAATGTATCGATATCTTTTTCGCTTTTCGGAAAACTAAAAATTGTTGATTGTAATTTGAAAAATAAAATTTCGATTTATCGATTTAGTAAAATTATTGATGTTTATGTTATTAACGAAATCTTTGTCGATTTTAACTATCCATATATATAATTTTTTATCGATATCGTAGTCGATATAGCTATCGACATACGTTGTTCAATGTCGTTATCCGTTTGAGCTCGATACATTTATCGATATCATTTTCGCCTTTGTATTATCGTAAACATAGTTATCGATACATACATATGCATAGTATATTACCTATTTATCGATATTATTTTTGTTTTATTTATAGATTTAGTATAATTACTTAACTTTTACTTACGTGAAAAATAAATTTTCGATTTATCGAGAGCATTTTTTTAACATTTATCGATTTAGTAAAGTTACTAATATTTATGAGATTAACGAAATCTTTGTTCTTTAATTATGTAAATATTTATCGATATTATAGCCGATATTATTATCGATGCTGACATAGTTCAAAGCCGTTGTTCATCGATAGTAAAATAGAGATACTCACCTTTGTGAACGAATACTCATAGCCATCAGGATTTACCAACGGCACCAGAAATACCTCCACATCCTGCAGTACACGTTGGAAGGCACGCAAATTATTTAACAACTCATTGGCTAAATAGAGTACAGTTAATGGTGTAATCCACTCACGTCCATGGGTTGCCGCCTGAATATAGGCAACACGACGATCACGTACGCGACTGTTCAGCGAAATGGAGAGCGCCGCAATGTGTCGGCCTTCAAAAGAGCGACCCAGCGATTCGTAGCGGCAATATTGCGGATGACGGGCAGCCAAAGCGCTCATGAAATTTAAAATCTAAAACAAAAAAAAAATATAAAAAATTTTTGGTGGTCAATGTAAAGAATTGTTTTCAGGCTTAGTCAATATGTACCTCTGAGTAGCGTGGGAAGTGCGAGAAAAAGCCGCGTGCTTGTCTTCGTGGCCGATTCAGTTCACATTCGGAGCCCAAACAGTCTGTAGTAAATGTTTCATTGAACGCTGACCTATTAATTAAAATTTTTCAATTTGCAAAAAAGTCACTAGCAATTTTTTTTATGAACTCACATCTCCTCCATCAATGGCTTGGCTACATATTGCGCATTCAATGTGTTGAGTCTTGCTTCAAATATTGGCTGATCTGAAGGTGAAACTGCCACGACGGACATATTGCGTGTGAGCAGCCAGAAATCCAGCTCTGCGGATTCTGTTTGTAAGTCAACCAGATAGTTGAAGGCATCCTCATTGTCGTGGAATACAGTGTATTTATTGTAGCTATAAAGATGGAGATAAAATGGGATTAGGTAAGCGATTTTAGGAGTTAAATTTAATCTCAGGATATTGTGTCTATAGTAAATAAAAGGAAACGTATACGGGTATACAGAAAGTGTGAAAAATAATAGAAACACTTTGACCTGCTTTGCAGCCCATTATCGAAGAAAACCCATATAAGTCTAAGTTTCAAACTTTGTAGAATAATTAGAAAAATTCAACAATATTTTACAATAACAATAACAAACTTTATTTCGAATTTCAAGAAAAATTCCAAGTAAGCAGTTTTATAGCCCATTAAATTCTAGCTACCAAAGTGCAAGTTTCAAGTAGCTAAAAGTTTGCATTGATTTTTGCAATTTATTTTTGCTGATGGTGTACCGCATTTTCTTCCAGAAAAAGTATTTATATTCGATTTTGTTTTTTGTATGGAAGAAAACAGTTATTGTAAAATTTTTTTGACGGAGGAACTAACCGACGCTACCTTTCCTTATAGCAGAGACCATACTAAGTTTGCATTTATACATTTTAAATAATTGATTTTGCACAAAAAAGCAAAGTTAAGATTAAAATGTACTTTCAGACCGAAAAGCTTCCGAGGGGTTCTAGAATAATTTTTTAAATTCCGAAAAGCTCGAATTAATTTGAAAAAATCACAGAAATATTCCGAAAAACTAAGACTCGAATAGTCCCAATAACAAAATCAAGAGCTCATAAAAATCTTCGAAGAACGTCGAAAGAGTTTTAAACAACTTAAATAAGTTACGCAAAGTCTGAAGCAATTTCACTGTCCCGAAAAAATCTTAAAGTGTTTAAAATGCGTATAAGCAGCCGAGAAAACACGAAATTTTGGGGATCCGGAGAATTTTCGATGACAACACTGGTAAAAAGGCCCAACTGTTGTCTTTTGTACAAGTAAACAAACAAAGCGGCCGAGTTTGGCCCGCGGTAGCCGAGTGGTGAGAGTTGCGTGCTACTAGCAAGCGATTCCGAACAAATTTTTTGTTTTCAGTATTTATTTTATTTGATTTATATATTTAATTATACTTTATTTTATTTTTCTTTGCTTTATTTTATTTCACATTTTTTATTTAACTATTAGTTAATTTAAATTTTTAGAGTTGAATTTTATTAAAAAGTCAACAATAACTAACTGAAAGCAACGCTAAAAAATATATAGAACTTATAAAAAAAATACTAAGAACGAAATAAATGAAAATTCTGCTGGCCGTGGTACCGAACCCACGACCCTGCGGCTCGTTAATCCGCAATACTGCCGTCTGTCAGGGCAAAATTATTATGCTATCCCTCTTGCGTTTAAGAGAGCCTGACTCTGTGTTTCCATTAAGGCATCATCGCGTCTTTTCCAGCCCAGCCCACTGATTCCGAATTTTTGAAGGTTTCGCTTCGGCCTAGCCTTTTGACTCAAGCTATCTATCTGCAGTAATTTTTTGGCTGAAGCGTTTGTCGAAAAAGAAATTCGTTTCTTGCACTCCCTTTGCATGCATCAGTTTCCAGTCCATATCAATATTACTTATGCAGTTTTTCGTGTTGATTAAAATTTATTTCTCGCATTACTTCTCTATTTCTGAAGCCTCTCACTCCATCTGGGGACAGAAGTGTGGATAAGGGCAAGGCGTCGCAATAACCTTCACTTCATCAATGGGCTGCGCTGATCGATTTCATGCAACATGCGACTTCTGAAGCTCCCTCCCCCCCCTCGCCGGGCAGAAGATTGCAATGTTTGTATACTGTCTAGAGTGGGCTTCGAAACTGTACCTTAAAATTCAAATCTGTAGAATGGTACGATCAGCTTGTTTTTTGTTTTTTGTAAAATTCATTTTGGGCGCTTACAAAATTAACGATGTATTGAAATCGGCTATATATGTACATTAGTGCGGGTCGAAATTTTTATTTTCTTTGAATCCTTTTATTAAACAGTGAAAAACTGTTTTTTTATGAGGGCAATTAAAAGCCTATGAAATATTATAATTTTATTTTAAGCGCAAGAGCCAGCACATCGATCTCCAAGTGTAACTAAGCACGCTAGTCGGACAATACGAATCCTTATTACGAATTCAAGGTGTGGGAAAACGGCTTGGTTGTTATGTTAGAGAATTAATCCGTTAGCCCAAATCACATAAACGAACAATTATTCTGGCCTTTTTTCAACAAACAAACATAAGCATGTTCGATCGACTATGAAGTGCCAAAGAGAAGGCGGGGAATTTTTTTCAAACATTTTTATCATTTTCATCTTGCGCGGGGTAGAAATAAGCTTTATTTTAATCATTTGCGACCAAATATTTTGTTAGTCCTAATACAACATAATATTCTATTACGATACCATACAAAATCGACCCAGCCTAATTTACATACATACATACATTTCAATACGAAGCAGCCAAATGTCAGAAACTGGAAACTAATGATCAATTAGTCAGACGCCTGAAAATGTCACAAATTTATATTAACAAAAAGGAGTATAAGTTCATTTAATGAAATGCAAAGCACTCTATTTAGTACGGAGGCCCCAGCAATAGTTGGAAAGGCAGCAAAGGCAGGAATAAGTCAACGATAAACCAAATGGCAATGTCAACGTCAGACAATACTGTGATCCAAAAAAAAACAAAAAAAAAAAAACAAAGAATTGCTGCAATGGTAATAAATAAAACAAATTACGAAATATTAGCATTATTAGTAGAATTGTATAAATTTGCACGCACGCGTATAATTAAATACACGAGTGTAAACAAAAAATTAACAACAAATATATGTATGCCAGCAGCAACAGATGCAGAAATTGCTGCAACTCTGCCGGTAGTGTCAAGTGCAATGCGGACATGGCTGGTATAAAAAAAGCCTCAAATACATATGTATGTACATTTGTTTCATATTAGCAATTATATACGTATATTTTTATTGTAGGTACACATGCCTGCATGCTTATTTTTGAATTCTTAATTAGCATTAGGTTTGACTGACTTTGAGTTTAATTTCGTGTTTTTTACTCAGATGTATATGTACTAGAGGGCTGCATGAATTCATTCAAATTCCTAGCCAAACAGAGTACAGTAGATTTGAATATTTTACTTCACATACAATACACTCAGCGTTTGGAGTTTTGTAAGTTATGAATATACATTTTGTTTTATATTTTCTACCTTCAAATGGAAGAATGTGAATGAATGAATGGAAAACATTCAAATCATTCAAACTCAGTTCGGTAAAAGTTTTTTTTCTACTAACAAGTTTTTTCGTATGTAATAGAAGCGCAGCAATACATACATACATACATTGTATGTTTGTACATACAGTGACGAACAAAAGTATTGGCACAGTGAATTTATCGCCATATATGCAAAGGTTTTTATTCTAATTTATTTTCGATAATTTTTTATAAAAATATAGTTCATTCTACACCAGAAAACTTAATAATAAAAACTCTAAACTTTGTGCAAAACTCAGGAAAATTCATTAAATTTGCACACTAATTTGCAACTTTTTATTCAGATTTTTTAGAAAAATCCTAAGTATGCAGTTTTAGTGGAAGGTGTTGCTCATTTTCTCCATACAAAAAATAATTGTCGAATTACTTTTTATGGAAGAACTTGCGTGAAAAAAAATTACCAAAAATCAATGCGATTTTCTAGCAACTTTAAACTTGCACCTTGTTATACTCAATTTGAATGCATACTTAGGATTTTTCTAAAAAATCTAAATAAAAAGTTGCAAATTAGTGTGCAAATTTAATGAATTTTCCTGAGTTTTGCACAAAGTTTAGATATTTTATTATTATGTTTTCTGGAGTAGAATGAACAATATTTTTATAAAAAATTATCGAAGATAAATTAGAATAAATAACTTTGCATATATTGCGAAAAATTCACTGTGCCAATACTTCTGTTCGGCACTGTATTTATGTGCATAGAAAAAATATTTTTGGATATTCATACACAAAATTGTCATTTATTTTAATTCAATTTATTTTCACTTTGTTTGAATATTGTGATGTCAACACAAATATCAGAACAGCTATTCACTCAAATTCAAAAAAATTTGAAGCCAAAATCATTCATTCGTTTTGTACATGAATAATTCAAAAGCAGTTTTGAATGCATTCATGCAGCCCTCTAATATGTACGTATAAAAAATAATTAAAATTAAAATAAAACAGCAAAGATATGGCGTTATAAATAACAGGTTTCTACAAATATACTGCTACATGCATACATATTTATGTATTTATGTGCATAACACATATAAATATTTTGTTTATCCAAATATTTGTTTGTCTTTAATTCAGACAACACTTGCGGTTCGTTATAATGCAATTAGCCAATGTCTGGTCTAAGTTAAGCATCTCTATAAAATTCGTTAGTAGCTTAAATTTGAAAATAAAAATAATATTAAAGCTACATACATATATGCACAAATAAACGATATTTTTTAATGCATTTAAATCAAAGGTCTTCGTCGCTCGCATTTGTATGCAGATTATTCATAGAGGTAACCACGAGCAATTAAGCCATTTTAAAATTACTCGTACCATGATAACTCAATCTTTGGCAAAACAAGAATGGTTTACATGTATTTGGAAACTAGCATAAACACCGATAATAGCGCCCAAAGTTGGCATTTGAGAAGTAAAGTCCTATCACGTCCTACAAAAACTATACATTTATTAAAAAGAGAGTACTCCCATTCCCTTTTTTACCCGATGAAATAAAAATATGAACACTTATTCTGCTCAGCTAATCCGCAACGCAATTCCGTGCAAAAAATCAGGGCAAACTATAGCTTTGAGCGCAACCTAAGCGAACCCATGCGACTGATTGGCACTTTCGATATCAGAGTAGACTGCTTCCTTAAAGGCAGCTATTTTTGCCTGCAAAAAAGTACAGTATTCTGGAAGCCTAAATTATGGCTAAAGAAGAACGCCCTGCACCAAAGAGCGCTACCATCCGTGTATTTAGAAATACACCAGTGACACCGTGTTTCCTGTTAGACCAGACTACCTATGCGGTGATCAGATAAAGTCGTGGCTTCAGAAATCTGTTTTTGCATTAACAAACGAGGAAAATTTAAGTTAATTCAAACAATTTTTATTAACTGGACTCGAAAAAAATAATATATTTTAACTAAGCAAAATCTTGAGGAAATAAAAGTTTCGTGGAAAAAAAGGTTGGGAGTAATTTAAGCACTACAATACGTACATGCAAACATATATATGTAAGTACATTAGGACGGGTAAATTTTTTGACTATATTTCCAGTTATATTATTATTATTATTATTATTATTAGAAAACAATGTATTGCACATCTAAGACAATGTCTTTTTATAGTGCATCGAGCGTGGTACATGTACAACATTTATGTTTTAGATGAAATTAATACTAACAGTAAACAAGAAAAATACAATAAATTTAGAAAAACGAATTTACATAATTATTACATTTAATCTTAAATTAGAATTAATGCTAGGAGACATCTTAAGCTAAAGAAAAAAAAGAAATGAATAAGTAGTAGAAAGAGGAAAAGTAGAGAACAGGAGAATAAAAAGAAAAGAGAAAAATAGAACAATAGAACAATTGCAACCACATCCAAAATTTAAATGCTGTTAAAGTAGTCGTATAGTATTACTTTGCAGTTTCCTCTATTCAGCATAGCCTTGGTAGGTTCAGGAATAGCGTTCCAGAGTCTCACAGCGTTATTTTGGAGATCGGGACTCCATCAATCTGTACAAAAATATGCAATTCCTCGCTGCGAGATAATTATCAATACTAAATCCCAGAATTTTATTCCTCCATAGGGAGATGTGTTCAAATTTTTTTAACCCATAATCATAGCAAGTTACATTATTAAAAGCAACATTGATTTTGTGGGACGAGATCGAATCAAGTTTGCTGTGTACAACTTCGGAGTATGTGATATAAGCAGGCAGAATAAGTTGTTTGGCTAATTTTTGCCTGGTCTCTTGTGGTGTATAAGATGCAGAAATCCTTAATCGGCGTAACACAGCATAAACGCTACTTACAACTTTATTAACATGATCACGAGGACTCAGCTTGGAGTTAATAACAAAACCTAAATTTTTGATTTTTTCAGTAACCGTTAGGGCACTAGTTTCAATATACAATTCAGGGATATCATCAAGATAGATTACACTATTATTAATTGGCAAAACAAAGGATTTTGCAGCATTTAAACACAAACAATTATCACGAGCCCAAGCAGATATCGCAGACAAGTCACTATTAATTTTACAACACAAATCATCAACCAGACCAATACTACTAGACAAGTACAGTTGAATATCGTCAGCATATGCATGTATATTTACGTATCGACACACAGAGAACACATCATTAACAAAAAGACTGAACAACAACGGCCCAAGTACAGATCCTTGTGGAATACCAGAAACAATATCTCTTGCCTGAGAGAAAGTATCTCTTCCTTTAACTTTTTGTGATCTACCCTCAGGTAGCTAGACATTAGTCTGACCGAGCTGTTCGTGAAGCCGAAACAATACTTGAGTTTTCTACATAGAAGCTCATGATTAACGGAGTCAAACGCCTTTGAAAAATCGAGAAGACGAAGAAGAGTTAAATCTCCGTTGTCGAACTGTGTCCTAACATCATCAAGTATTTTGGTCATTGCAGTGGAGCAACTATGCTGCGGTCTGAACCCTGACTGTAGTGGTGAAAGTAAGTCTCGTTCGTGAATGAATGCAGAAATCTGCGTTGCCATTATTGATTCGCACACGTTAGACAGAACAGGCAAAATGCTTACAGGACGATAATCACAAGGGCTGGTTGTATTGATCTTTTTGGCCACAGGGAGTATCACAGCCTTTTTTCACTCCGACGGATAGCATGCACTAGTAAAGCAGTAGTTTATTATATGGGTTATAGTCCCTATGATAAAGGGCAGCACAGTTTTCACAAACTTCAGCGAGATCCCATCCTCCCCCAGCGCATTTGACTTTATGGCCATCATTGCCTTCAGTTGCACGAATCCAACATAAATTCATCAGTCGGAGGGGAATTCATGTTTCTGCTTGAACTGGTGAAAAATTCATTTAGAACATCAGGGTCAAACTCACATTCAGGCTAAGCATTTCCATGAACATTTAATTTTCTAAGGTTCTTCCACAATTCACTAGACGGAAGAGATGCATCAAGTCTAGCTCTACAGTACCGACTCTTTGCCTGGCGAATAGTGGTAGTAGCTTCATTTCGAGCAGTCTTGTACTGACACCAAGACTGACAATTTGAAAAACTCCGAATTGATTTTAGACCCACGGTTTCTTCGACAAATTTGCTTAGAATTACACGTAGAATCCTTCTGTGCTATACGCTGAAGTCGAAAAATTCTCCCATACAAATTGACCCACCCTAATGTACATATATTATTTTTTTTAATTCCACTTACAGAACATTGGCATAAATTAAATTAGCTACAGATAAACTCTGTATCCTATTAGCTTCCGCTTTCATAACTTCTTGCACAATGGCTTACTAGTGTCTTTAAGGCCAGTCTCTGTTAATCTCTTTATGCGTATCACAAATATTTTATTGCTCAATCTATAAATAAACCAATTTTTTCGGTGGTGCTATTAGATATGCAGTCGGTGCCAAATGTAAGTGTCCACCTTGTTGTAATATAAAATTCACAATTATTTTTATGCAAATTTTTTTTTCATTAATTATTTGTGGAAATATAGTTTCATCTATAACATAAACCATATAAATCAAAGTTTCACACTTTATATAAAGTACACAAAAATCCAAACGATTTTCATCAAAATTTCAAAGTTTTTATCCACAATTTCTAGAAAATTTTTGAGTATCCACAAAAAAAAAATTATAAAAAGTCAACGGTAATTTCTAGCGACTTGAAACTGGCACTTTGCTTTACTAAAATTGAACGGGCTGCAAGATTGCATACTCCAAAATTTTCTAGGAATTCTGGATAAAAATGGTGATGAAAATTGTTTGAAATTTTGTGAACTTTATATAAAGTGCGAAACTTTTATTTATATAATTTAGGTTATGGAGTAAACTATATTTCCACAAATAATTAATGAAAAATAAATTAGCATGAAAATAATCGTGAATTTTTTATTACAACAAGATGTACACTCACATTTGGCACCGACTGTATACATATATGCATATGTATATGTGCACATTCCAAAATTCCAAATCTAATCTAAATTTAAATAATTTAATACAATTTCCGTTGATTATGTCAAAAGCTAAATCAATGCAAATATATCAAGTTAACTATAAAAAAAAAAAACAAGCTTAAGTTTTTAAAAATGTGCGTGTTACGCTTCACTTTATCATTGGTGGCGCCACGAATTAATAGCGGATCAGCATAAAATTTACATAAATACGTAGCGCTTTGATTGCATTTTCATGGGTCATTTAATAAATTTTAACATGATTAAGTAATTTATGCACGCTTGCTTAGAGATATAGTGGCGGTCAAAACTAGACAAATAGTGTTTATTTTTAATATTTACAACGTTTTACACGAGGACCGAAAATAACAGTTATTTGTTTCGATGCTATAAAAGTCCGCGCAAAATATTGTCGTAGAATAAAGTTATCAATTTTCCTTTGATCCTAAGGCCACCTGGACAATTCAAACACTTGACTCAAGAGAAAATTTATTTTTTTTTCCTTTGATCTTTCTCCTCACTCATTTAAAAAAAAAAAAGTTTCATGCTAAATGAATACTGCGATTAAAACACTTAAAAAATGCTTACGACTCAAAATTGATATTACATAATATTTCCATATAAAAGAATATTTACTACTAGCAACGTCACTCACTAAAAACATAAAAATATTATCTGAATAATTTAAACAGTCAATGAAGTGCTGAGCGCTTAAGTGCACCTAAGAGCAGCGCCGCATTAGTTGATGCTATAAATAAATTATAAAAACAACGAGTCAACCAATTAACATGCACATATGCATGTATGCGCAGAAGTGCATGCATATTAATAGCAAATTATGCCATCAAGATATATTATTCACCTTAGGAAATCGTTAACCATTTAAGCAGCAATAAAAATTGCATAAAAAGCAAATCAATGGAAATATTAATATCAAAAACATTGTTTAGAAAATTTTTTTTAACATAAAATTTTAGCTACTGAAATTAAATTTTTATACCCGAGCGCACTTGTGCACAAGGGTATTATAACTTTGTTCACATAACGGTTGTTTGTAACAGGCAAAACGAATCGAGATAGATATAGACAAATGTATACATAAATGATCAGGATGAAAAGAGAAATCGATTAAGCGGTGACTGTCTGTCCATCCGTCCGTCCGTCCGTCCGTCTGTGCACACGATAACTCGAGTAAAAATTAAGATATCTTAACGAAACTTGGTACGTGTACTTCTTTCGGGCGTAGGACGGATGGTATTGAAAATGGGAAAAATCGGACAATAACCACGCCTACCTCCCATATAACGGTAATTTTCAGAAATACGAAAACTGCGATATTTTAGTAACTACTGAAGATTATTAACTCAAAATTGATATTTACAATAATTTTTAGACGAAAAATAAGAATGTTATAAATTTTTGGAAAATGGGCGTAGCCACGCCCACTTATAGTTACATGTGTATATCTTGGCAACCGCTGCACCGATTTCTTCCAAACTTGGCACAGTTATTGGCCTTGGTACAGGATACCAAATGGCCGAAAAGTTTTAAAATCGGACAATAACCACGCCCACATCTCATATAACGGTAATTTGGAGAAATACGAAATCTTCGATAAATCAGTAAATATTAAAGCCAATTTATTCAAAATTGATGCTTGCAACAATTCCTTACCAGGAAATACGTCTACAATAAAATTTTGAAAAATGGGCGTGGCACCGCCCACTTATGATCACATATATGTATCTCGGTAACCGTTCTACCAATTTGTACCAAACTCGGTATTTTTATTGTGCTTGCTACATAAAAGCAAAACGATGAAAATTATTGAAATCGGACTAAAATTATGGCTTTTCATATAACGGTAAATTTTAGAAATGCTTTAAACGTCAATATTGAAATTGATACATCCCGGCTTACCATGTAGCGGTAGCTTTCAGAAAGGTGAAAATCATATATTTAATATTTGCGCCGGGTATTTAATGTTCGGCTCCGCCCGAACTTAGACTTTCTTACTTGTTAATAATAAAGTTTATCAAAGCCAATTTATACTCCAGATATAATTTTTTGTTGCACATTAAGGTATCCATTATTTGTATGTATAATCGCGCGTAATCTAAAATTAAAAATGTGCATACATATGTATGTATGTATGTATGTATGTATATACAAATGTACTTTTAAAATATTATTTCAGCAGCTTTCGTTGTTTGCCTGCAAACGCATGTAAAATGTGAGTTTGCAGTGGCGAGTTCGTGTCTTAAGTCTTTCGTGTTCCGCACTATCAGCAGGCGTTTGACACCGACCGCAGTGCAAGGTTAGCAATTTATGTATGGTTAAAATAATGAGCTTGAATGTGTTGCGAAAAAAATGAATGGGAAAAATGTATTAGTCAAATTAATCAATTTCATAGTGAAACGATTAAATGCAATAAAAGGGAAAGAGAAACAATGTTGAAATTAGACCTCACAATCCATGCAAGTTTTTATTATTTTTAATCAAACTTTAAAGGAAAGCATCAAGCATCAATAAGTATTACCTTCCATTCGTATTTGTAAAAGCAAGGCGAGACAATTTATATGTAATATTTATGGAAACTTCAAGCAATGCGAAGACTTTCTGTTGGACTAAATGCAAACCCTTACGAATTATCGACTTTATAAGTAATAAAACCCAAAA